GGGCCGGACGTGCTCGGCCGCGCTGGGAGGCCGCCCGGGAGCCCGCACCCCCGCAGTCGGGCTGGCGGCGCCGGCTCTCGGGCGCCTCCGGCTCCGGCGGCGAAGCGAAGTGGAGCAGCCGCGTTTACACGGGGTTGGGGCCGGGCTCCGACGGGTTCCGCAGAGAGCGGGGGTCTGGAGAGGGGCCGGGCCGGGCTCCAGCCTCCCCCAGGAGCTTTCCTGGAAGTGGCGTGGGGGCGGACTTGGCTGGACATCCTGGCAGGCATTTCCAACGTCCGGGAGCAAGACTGAGTCAGGCAGTGCCCGCCTCTGGCCTGCGGGGTTGGCGGAGAGCAGGGAGGTCCCAGCTGTTGTCGGCCCCTCCCACGCAGGGCACTGTCACCAGAACCTTTCAGGCCACCAAGAAGGTTGGACCCCAAGGTTTGGCCTGCTAAGTGCTTTGCTGGGGGTTGGATCGTGGCAAAGGCAGGATCCAACCCAGGCCTCCCACGCCAGGCGTCCCCCAAGCTACAACCAACTGGCAGCAGAAGGGAGCTGTTGGGGTTGGGCCTCGGTCCCAAAGCCCTCCCTGGTAACAACCCTGGAACGTGCCACTAACTGCAGGCCTCCTTCCCCCCTCTCCAGCGCCCAGCAGCACTAGGCCCCCCACAGCCAGGATCAGCCCCTTCCTGAGCTTGGCCAGGGTCTGACAAGAAGGGCTGCACTGCCTCAGCCTGCAGCTGCCAAGGGGCTGCTTTTTGGCAGCCTGGAATGTGGTCTTGGGCCCTGAATGGACATGAAGGGCATCCTAGCAGGTCCAGGCTTGCCATCAGCTGCACATGTGTGTGCATGAGTGTGTGCAGAGATTGCAGGCTAAACTGACAAAGCAGTTTCGGGGGTAGGGGGGAGGCAAAGGAGGGGGAACTGCTGGGCTGAGCAATGCAAGGGCTTACCCAAGATCACTGGAAGCCCATGTCAGTGCTGGGAGCCCCACACAGAGCCTGGGATCCCCCTCCAGCCTCCTCAGAGCCTGCCCTTGCTCAGTCTGGCCCCATTGCCCTGGGCACAGTCTGGGGACCGTGGCAGGTAGAGCTGTTGCCTGACCGGTGCATGTGTGTTGCAGTTGCAGAAGCCCAGGTGGAGGTGAGGATATCGCCCAGCAACCTGTTGGTTGAGTACGGCGGGAACCTGACGCTGACTTGCTCATCAACATGCCCAGTCTCTGATGTCCAGCTGGGCCTGGAGACCTCACTCACAAAGCACCAGGTGGACCAGGAGCATAGCTGGGTGTTGGTCAACATCAGCGAGTCGCAATCCGTGGTCCAGTGCTGGATTGCCTGCAATGGCACTGACAAAACAATAGCGTCTGCCGATATCACAACATACCGTAAGTGCCCCTGTGCAGCCTGGCCACTAGCTCTGGGGTCCTACCAGTGCCAAGAAGTGGGCAGCTCAGAGGAGGAAGTAGAAGAACTAGAGGAGGTCCAGAGAAGGGCAGCAAGGATGGTTAGCAGTATAGGGGGGCCTTCATATGAGGAGGGGCTAAAGACAAGGCCTATCCAGTTTAGAAAAGATGTGCTGGAGGTGGCTTGGGGGGCAAGAAGGGTTTACCAAATACTATATGACAAAGAGAAAGTGGGTAGGGATTCAGTATTGAGAGAGAGTCAATGAAAGAGCGAGGGGTCACAAAATGAAACCAGCAGTCAACCAGTCAGTCTAAAACCAACAACAGGAAGTTCTTTTTCACACTGCCTATCAGTCAAGTCATCATCAGTGGTGACAACAGCGACCAGTAACAGTGGAAGTTGAGAGTTCAGCTGATTCACAAGAGATTGGACATGTTCTTGGAGCAAAGGGGCATGCGTAGGTATTGAGCATGGGAGTGAGGGGCATGGCCTTTGAATCAGAATGTCTTGGACCTTAAATGCTGGAGGCTGCAAGTGAGAGAGGAACAGGGAAAATCCCTGGTCAGACCCAGTTCACCCTCCCTCTCTGTATTCATAGTTTCATAGTTTCTAGGGTCGGAAGGGACCTGGGCAGATCATCTAGTCC